TTGGCTGCTTCTCATGTTAATGCAATATTTTCTCAGTTTAAGTGACCATCAATATTTTGGGATGTTTATAATTCTTTTATACAGCCTTCTGTGAGATCTTTAAAGCTTTGGATATTGATTTAGACCTTATTACTATTTTAGTGAAAACATGCTGAAATAATATAACCCTAAGTTGTCCTCTTTATGAGGATATTGTGTTGGTCAATCAAACAATACCCCCATATAATAAAAGGAAGTATCCTGTGAAGAAAAAAAAAAAAGGTGGAAATACTCTAGCAGTATAAAATGTTTGTGCAAGCCTCTGTCACTCATGGGTGAAGACAAACTTAATGCAGCTTTTAAAGGATTTATTCAACGACCCTTTCACCTCATTTGAGCTATGATTACAAATTTTTTTGGAAATTCAGGGCCCATCTTAGGTTAACACCCAATGAAAGGAAAGTGAAGAATGTAAAAGGTGATATCAGGCCTGGTAGAGAGACGCGGAACCTTTTAAGGTAACTCAACCAGTCGTCTGACTGACATGAGATGATGCAGTGACGGGAAAGGTGGTCTTTTAAAAGGAGGATCAATGGTATCATCTTTTCTGAAGCTCTCTGGAGAAAAAGGATGGCATAGAGGCATAGAATTTCATACTAGTGTCAAAGGAAGATTGAGCCACTCTTGAGTTTTATTTTGTACTTTACTTAATTCCTCTGCCTTAGTCTTTGTGCCTTAAAGTCCCTCTTTTGTTTCTTAAGCCTCTTTAGCTTCACTGCTTCCCTTTTGTCTTTCTGTTTTCCCCTGTTTCTACCGTACACTATGTCACCCACCATGCTCTCTGCCCTGACAGCATGCTCATCCTGTTGTGTGGATGACATATCTGAGTAATTAACATTATAGGCATGCCAAGCAGATTATAATAGCCTTTGGGGAGGAGCAGTTTCTGCATGATGGAAAGTTTTAACTCCAGTGGAAAACTCTGCTAAGACGGATTTAGCAAAAGAGGCAGGGTAGGGTACAAAGATTTCATCTGTGCTCATTTTTCTTTGGTTTAAAAAAAAAAAACACATATAAAATACAGTACCTAGGAAAAATAAAACACTTTGAAGTTTGTAACAACATGTCATAAGGCTTTAGAGCTAAGAGTAGCTCACTCTATGTTAAGAACGTTTTAATACTTCTACCCTAGTTACCTCAGCAAATGTATTCTGTCAACTTCAGCCTGACTATGCACCAATGCATGCAAACTTTTCTGACCCTAAATTACATCTATTCACCATTTGCATAATAAGTTTAAATGCAGATATGATGGAGCAGCACATAAATTATTCTGCACATCTACTGGGAAAAGATTGGTACACATGCACAGAGAGGAAGATGTTAAAGACGCATCATTTTCCAAATGCTCATTTTTAGCTTGCTTGTTTAGGGCAGGGTGCAGCCTAGCTGATGTGCTGAAACACTGCGTTTTTGACACAATGGTGTCATCGTCAGGGACTGTGATGTTCAGCTCACACAAGCAAAAGTGTTGCACCTGCTGGTAGTGCGCAAGCACATACACAGGGTGTTATCAAAAACTGTGTCGTAATTAGCGTCTTTGGTAGATACTGCAGGTCTTTATAGCACATATGTCTTACACAGTTTCATCAAGAAGACGTGTGGTATACAGCATCTGCTGGAACAGTGCTGCAATCTGGAAACTTCAGTTTTTAAGTTAATTTTTTAGAAGGGTATAATTAGAAGAGTTTCTCCCTTTGTATTCAGTGGTTCTACGTAAAATATTTTGTTAAATAATATGAAGTGATCCAGGTTTAATTTAAAAAAGTTATAGTTCCCAAGCCATGCTGATTAGGATTAGATTTTGGCAGATTTTGGATGTGACTTAATATACTAACTTTATTTTTGTATTGGGCATTTTCGAATTATTAAATGGTGCAAGGATTTGCACATAAAAGTCACAAATAGATAAAGTATAATGTTTCCAGAAGAAGATAGACAGTGACACTGATGAAAGGTAAGGTAAAGTAATATGTGTGGAGATTGCTATACTGTATATTAGCATACTATTGGAAAGTTAAATGGAAGGAAAAGTGCTTTTGTCAAAGGTACACAAGAAATAGGGGACATTACAGATTCTGGAGGAATATAAACCAACACCTATCCACATTGTGTGAACTACACATCTATAAAATGTAGCGCTAGTTATATTGAGCGTTTCTTCTGAACTATAGTCACAGTGTGGAGCATGGACTGAGAAAAAAATAAATAAATATATAGATGTAGTTATGTTGAGAAGTGATGTCAATTCACAGTAATTTACATAATCGATGTCATGGCTCTGCCCGTATATACCGACAGGTTTATTTGGTGAAGGTTTTTTTTATTTTTTTATTTATATTCAGGTGAATATAGTTAGTTTGGAAATGGGTGTTTGGTTTGGTTGATGTTAACTACTGTAGTCTTTTTTGTGTGTTTTTTGTTGACACATTTATTGTTGTTTGTCAAATTATCTGTCTGTAATTGTCTGAAATAAATAAATTCCTATAAAATTCCTATAAAAAATATTCAGAATCAGTGCTAATGTGCGGAGTCATGTTTGTTTTGTTGGATTTGATCTACAATCTTCTCGTAAGTCTACTTAGGGCAATCATCCACACAAAATTTTAATGGCACTTTTTGTTTCTGTCTGATCACACATTTTATAAATATCCATTTTCATTTTCCATCTGGAATGATTTCCTTTAGTTTCTGTATCAATAACATTTGCTAGTGTGCAATCAATTGTCATGTCACCCTTTTTTTTTATTTCGATAAAAGGAGCTGGCTGTCCAGCCTATACTTTGGTATTGCACGTAGAATGGGGGGAAAAAAAAACAAGGACGACAACAAAACTACAAAACTAAACATCTATTTGTAAAGTATCAAGTAGAAAATGAGTTACAGGTCAGTATAAAATAAATGAACTCAGAAATAGATGTTACTCCAATGTATCCTGGGTTCTTATATGAAAGATTCTCTATAAATAAAGATGAGGCCCCGTAGCCCTGAACTAGAGTTTCAGAATGTAAAAAACACTTTGTCTTTCTATATAGTGAGTAAATAATTAAGGGAAAAATCTGAACACACCTTTAGTGCAGCATTAACGTGCAACTTTTTGAGGCTAATTGATGTTATTTAGTAGGCTAACATACTCATAATGTGTTCATGCTCTATAAACACTAAACAGGCTGCAGTCCAACATCATATTTCCTATGTTTTTTTAGGAGCAAGATTTGTTGGCATTATTCTGCAGGGAATTACCACTCACTCATTACAAGATTAAATCTTTCAAAAATTAGTTTTGGCACAAAAAGAGAAGAAAATAAGGCTTACATTTTTATCTAACTGCTCCCACTTGGCTCCTGTTTAAGAGGTCGTGTATAGACAGGTAATATCTTCACCTCCATCTCAGCATTCTGGTGGTTTTACGAGTTGAGCCGCCGTCTCTGTTGGTTACTGTTCAACGGAAGGTCATAAATGGGCGATTTATGTCTGAAGTGCAGCCAGGAATGCTGATGGTACTGTCAGAGAGCAGAGATACTGTCTGGTCTGACTCATATTTAATGGAAACTGTAACGTCCACAACTCCATGTCCTAACTCATGCACTTCACACTGTGTGCTCACACAGAGAGAGGGAGTTAACATCCTCCAGCTGAGCGGTGGATATTATATAGAACGGCTTAATATGACGGATAAAGATAAGGCAGTAAATTGCCCCCCTTGTAGTACTAAAAGCAGTTTTTGCAATTTCAGCGTCTTGCATCACTTTTCAAATCTAATTTAAGCACGGAGCGTACTGCTGACGCCAAAATTAATCGTCATAGAAAGAGCGGAGAACACTTCATTAGCTCCCAGCATTCTTGTGCATTCTGCAAAGTATTACCCAAATGAAACACAAGAAATTAAACCCACAAGAACACAGTCTGACAATGTGATAACTATAACACAGAGTTCATTAAAGTAGCAACAGCTAATACAGTACAACATTGTTTAGCACCTAGTCTCCCGCCTCTTTGTATCTGGACTTCCACAAACCACAATTGTTAAGATATGGACATTTGAATTGCAGTAGGCAGGGGTCAATTAGCATATCTTCTTGGGTGACTGTGGCCATGTTTCCCTAAATCATTAAGCTAATTATATGAGCTAATTAATCAGTATGCTCGGAATGAGCTGCAAGAGCGGGCGCTACTCTTTGTTGGCTTGCATAATGAAAGGAGACCACTTTTAGATGGAAAAAACTAAGCAAAGGGAGGGAGGGAGAAAATCTTTGATCTGTAAAGTAAACATATGATTTTGTTTCACATCAAGTGACTGAGCAACGAAGATAGAAGCTGGGGAAGCAAGAAAGATTATTTGAAAGAAAAAAAACTTTGAATTGTAATGCTTTGTAGAACCCGAGTTTTCCAGATGGTCACGAGAAGGGACCAACATCCAATTATCGGTGTCATTTTCATGCAAGATAACACACAGGCAGGGGGTATGTCAATCACCGGTGATGCTGTGACATTCCAGAATGTGCTTTGCTTTTCTCATCTCAGTTAGTTCGATCTTAAACTGCTAATATTCAAACAGTGCGTGTGATGCATAGTTCTGGTTAGGTTTCAAGCTCATTTGACCACTTTGTTTAAAGACCTATATTCCTCTTTGTTGTGTATTACACTGTTGGAAAGTAATACACATAGAAAGCCAAAAAAACCCCAAAACATTATGTGTCTGTAAGATGGAGGCTATGTGAGCATTTGTGCAGTAGCCCAGTTTTAGACATTCATATAAACAAAGAGATATACGCATAAAATATATTTAAAAAATATTATGTTTGCAATACAGCAGTTTGTACGATGCATGAAAACATGTATTTTCATCTTTATCCCTGCAAATCTTTTTTTTTTTTTCTTGTTTTTATTGTACAGTATGAAACATGATACAATACAATGATGCATTATCATTGCTGACTGCTTTGTCTTTCTCCTTCCAGGGAAATTCTGAGGAGTTCTGTTCCTTCTTCACTTTAGTCTGAACCAGCAATCGCAATTGCCTGTTCCAAAAACGGTAAGATCTACATTTTATAATCTTACTACATCTTTGATTTTATTACTTTGTAGCTAAACTGCAACAACAGTCCAATGTGAGTGCTGCAAAATCACTGCTATCCTAAGCTTATTGAGACTAGCAACACATTTAAATTACTAAGGTAGCATCAGATTAGTACTGTAATGTCATGGGTTAATTCCCCTCTAAATCCTTATTTTATTATCAACAGTCATATAAGAACACCTTTAAAGGCTATGTCTTTATTTTCTTTTTCTTTTTAAGTGGTATATATAAATCCGATATGAAAAGAAATGTTTTAAATATTTCATGTAAGTCTTCAGCTGTTAATAAATCCTATATAGAATATTAAGAATTTTTGTGCAGTTTATAAACGCTTATTCAATGTTGGAGAAGCCATTCAGTCTGGTTAAGACCATCCACAAACATATCTGTTTCAAAGCATGTTATATAGTTAAGTAAAAAAAATGCTTGATTTATAAACCCCATCTATGGCTGTGTTTATAAACACTGCCGGATCCCAAAGTGCATTTAAAGCCTCAACTCTTGTCAAGTTTTCTAGTCTATTTAATAGGTTTGTGCCTTTACAAGAAATCCGGCTATAAAAGATCATTAATAACAGTGGCGGCTGGTGGAGTTTTCTCCAGGGGGGGGCTATAAATAGACGTAGAAAAAAAACGTGTAGTAAGTTATCACACTAGTATATTGATATACAATAACAAAAACATTATAAAAACACTTAATAAAAAACATAATTTCATACATAGGTTTACTTTTTGTACATAAATCTCGCCCTTCTGAGGCTCTGTGAAGGCAAATATGTGTTTTGCATGGCCCAGTATTGAGTCACAAACCTTAAAAAAACAAACAATGTGCACTTTAAATAATGGAGAAGCTATTGGTCAGCTTCCTACTTTTTTTTATATGAAAATTATTTTCTGAGAATGTTTTTTTATGAACAACAATGCAAATTAACAAACATATAGAAAAGTACACTATATTATATTATTTTCCATGTGAATCCCAGATTGTTCAGTCTTCTTTGCCTTTTCTAGAAAGTGTTTTAAATCAGTCCTATCTGTCTTTATCAATGCTGGGTCAGATCCTGACATTTGAGAAAGCAAGCAGGGAAAGCAGAATAAAGCTACATGCTGCTAGCCAAGCCTTCTTGCTAAGCCAGGTCTTGAAAAGGGACATCTCTTTTCCTCTCTCCAATGCATCTCCAACGCCCGCGACTCGACCTGTCAATCATCCACAAAATATCTGCACTGTGGCGGGAGGTTGTGAGCAAATACACTTCCTGTCAACTCAGGGCGCAGCTCTCCTATACCTCTGTATTGCAAAGGAGCTACTGCGCATGAGCAACTTTTAATGAGAGTCTAGGGCTGTGTTCGAATTTATGGGATGCACCTTCCAAGGACGTGGTCATCATAGAACACAATTTGTGTACTTGTACTCAAGAATTTTAAGAGGTGTAACTTTTTTTGTGACAGATAAAAAAAAAAATCTACAGTTCAAAAACAACAAATATACAATGCACAAATAATCTTGCAACAATAGGGCATGGTCGTCATGACGTAAGCACTTTGCGTCGCCGCCATCACGTCACCTCGTCACCACGCTCTGATGTAATCGGCCTTTGAATCTGGCCTTTGGATGACATATCCCATAAATTCGAACAGAGTCAATGGGGAAAGACTT